AACATATATATGAACTTTCAAAACGAATGAAGCCTGCGGAGAACACATTTATATATAAAAGCAAAACAGGCGGACGAATATATAAAATAAATATCATATATATTATATTATATACATTTAAAGAGCCGACTTTATTTAAATTAGATCCAATTGAAATTTTATTGAATTCGTAAAAGTTGACAGCATGCATTTCTATCAAATATTGTGCACTTTTGAAATGTGACAAGTTGTGTCAAAATATTTGTTAATTTTTGGTCAAAATTTAGAATTAAATTATTTTAGTTTACGATTGATATAGAGTTTCGTATAGGATTAATATGTGTGCTGATATTATTTGCAAATGGGATTATTTATCCGAATTATGATCATTTAAAGTTAAAAATTGATTTACTTTAACTTCTTTCAACATTTTGAATTTTTGTCTAATGCCGTTCAAAAAGTTCTTTTAATCAAAGAACTGACTTTATTTAAACAATTTATATTTCTTTGATGTCAAACAATTTTTGATTTCAAAATCGAGTAGTTTTCATAAAAAATGTGAAATAATCTAACCCCTAACTAATGCAACTATTTATTTACTATTAACACTATTATTTACCATTTATTTATTATTTATTAATATATATTTTTATTATTTATAGACAAGTTCAGTATTCAAAAATGCAACTTTACTTGCTTACAATTTTTTTTTGTTTGGCATGATAGCCAAAGTTGATTTAAATTAATAATATTTTCTTTTCCAACTTCAAGTCAGCTATGATAAAGTGTATATTATCTATTCCCGACGAGCAAGTTCATGTTTTCTAGAAGACTTCTCTATGCCTGGTAATCATATTAAAGTCTAAACTTAACGCATTCAGTTTTAGTAAATATACATAGATATGGTCAAAAAGATGCTTGCCTTTTTTCTCCGATGTTCCCAGCTGCACCGAATATGGTATTCAGTTTGTTTCCAGTGTAGTTCGATTCGGCTGAAAATTTATGAATGTCTTTCAAGTGTTGCCCCTGAAAGTATGCAGCACAATTTTACAATTGTCGAATTTTTGTCGAACTATTTGCGCTGTCTGTTGTTACCACTGTGAGTGCAATTTGTCGCCGTCTTATTTTGTCTTGACCTACGGGCGAATTCTGTGCGCCCAGTACATCAACTGGGATTTTTTTTTTGTTTTAAATAAAAGTCTCGCACATTCGATGCTCAGAATGTTTGCCCTTGAAAGCATGCAGTTGATTTTTTGCTTGTGATTTCGTTTCGTGGTCCCCTTGTTAAATGTGTTTATTCTAGAACTTAAGCTGAGATTTTTATCAAAGTAGTGGAAAATATGTGACTCAATTGCACACAAATTTGTGCATAAACTGTTTTCGTTTTAGTTTTTCTCTTTTTATTTAAAGATATAAGTAAATAAAATATGAAGATTCGTATTATTGTTGTTTTATTATTTAGCATCAATATTTTGTCCTATGCTTTTAGTCCTAAATAAATTTATTGATAGTACAGTAGATACTTTTGTAAATTTAAATAAATGTTTTTGGGTAGTAATTTATTTATAAATGTTGAAAATTATTCTTAAAATATTGTTATTTCTTCTAAACAGTATTTTAATCATTTTCCTTCAAATTCGAGTTTCAAGTCAAGTTTTAGACCTATCAGTAGGTAATTTCATAAATATCAAGAAAGGGTTTCTATTTTATTTTATTTCTTTATTTATAGTTTCTTATATTCTTAGAATTTTTGTTTACTTATTTCTTTGATAGTTAAAATTTAATTGCTTTCGTAGTCATTCGCACATTTCGCTCATTCGAACCACTGTGCAGAGTCTTCTATTCTGCCGCCATGCTTGAATTTGTGTGTGGCTCATTGTTTGTCTATGCGAGTGCATTGTTGTTGCTGCCCTGTAGGCGACTACGTACACACACAAGCACACACACACAAACAGACACGCACACAAACAGGCAAACACTCGAGCACACACACACACACACACATGTGGGTTCACGCAGATGCTCGAATGTGAGGCTTTTCGCTATTGTTTGCAGAATTTATTGCACGAATTTCTGAATTGGCTCTTTGGACTAGTATGTGGTTTTATTTTTATATGCACATACATATTTATATATATATATATAGAGATATGCTCTGGGCACTCAGTCGCGGCCTTGGTTGGGGCTTATGCTAAAACAATAGCCCGACCATAAGTATTTATTGGGTCGTGCTGCCGCATTACGCTTAGCACTGGCTGAAAGAAAGGTGTTGTCCTTTATGCTCAGGTCGTCTTAATTAGCATCAAATTTTTGTGCAATAATACGCCCAAAAAAAAAACGAATTACCTTCACCCTCTCTCTCAGTCCGCTTTACACACATTGCGTATACGCCACAAAACCCATATCCTTGGGTTAGCATTCGGTGTTATTATTGTTGTCATTTCCCTTGGCAATGCACACACATTGTGTCTCCGGATGCCTTTCATGTGTCAAGCGATTGTCTCATCAGCGTGGAGCCATTGCCGGTCGCATATTATTAATATTGCGTATACGCCGCGTTTGACATTTATTTATTATGCTCGCTTTTAATGCCGACGTCACATAAATTTATGGTAAACCCGAAAACAATTTGTACACAAACATGCGTGCATGTGGCCACATGGAACATGCAACACGTTTCCGGCTCATCATTTTCGGTTGCGTGAGTCGCGCTTTATGAGTTTCCCTCCACCCACATAGAGAACAAAAATCATGATGCTGGCGTACAGCATATCTGCTAAATTCTGTAAATGTAAATCATTTGCGGATTTACACTGTTTAGCTAGGAATTTCGGGACAGTTACGGGTCCCTTGGGTGCTGACATTGGCAGGCTCACATTTACACCAAAATAGCTGCAAATAGCCAAAAGCCTTCTGGGAAATCTCATGACATCCAACAGACGTTTATATTTAGATGTAAAGTTCATGAAATCATAATGTCGGGCACAGACATGTTTGCTTAGCTTCAAGTATCTATGAAAAAAAAGTAGAGTGCTCTAACTGTGCCTTGCCCGACCTCAAATAACTTTAGGGCATAAATATGTTATCCAAATGTGACTTATTACCGCAGCCCAGGACTGTGAAACCAAATTTTTTTTACAATTCTTGTGGGAACAACAATTCTGGACCTGTGTATACTATACAAGAGTCCACATTCCAAATTACATACAAAAAGCAGGCGTAAGTTATCGATGATTTGACGGATGGACAGACAGACAGACATGGCTCAATCGACTCAGCTCGTCAAGCTGAATCCGAATAAATACTTTTTATAAACTTACTGCTTCCCTCTCTCTGCTACATACATATTTACACATTTACAATGGGTTCAGAGCATTCAAATATTTGCAAAAGAAATCGATAAAAATAGATAAGCAGATTGATTGGGTAAATGCACTTTTTTGTATGTGAGCTCTATGGAATGGAGCTCTAGCGAATGGCTTTTAAATACATATGGATAAGGACAGCACGTAGAAGAGAGGCTGTACAATGTTTAAACACGTATTCGTGAAGCATTTGGCAACATGTTTAAAGACCTGTTTGCATAGGCCTCTTTAGGCCTGACAGATGCCAGAGAAATGTCGCCAGCAATTCGCTTCACAGCTACAAGCATGTGTTACATATACATATGAACACATCTATACACATTAATACGGACAGTCAGCCGTGGCAGCTGCATGTGGCATGCAGAAATGTTGCAACATTCATAGCGTATAATCGCAGCCGACAGGACATTCGAGCCGCATGCGTGTGTTGCATGTTCAGAGATTCATGATTTATTTATGGGGCACTATGGAAATAACATGGCGCCATAAATCGCGCCCAGCTCGTGTGCGCACACACAAATATCCCCGTAATTAAATCGAATAATTGAAGCGAAATTTAATTAAATACACTTAATGCTTACAACAATCGAAAAGCCAAAAACATGGCAAAAAAGCAATTATAAATAGAGACAATAAAACTGGACACGAGCATATGTAATGACATATGAGTGAGTGTGTGTGTTTTTGTGTGTGTGTGTGTGTGTGTGTGTAAGTCTGACCTTAATCCAATTAGCTGTCCACTGCTGTGTGGCACCTCTCCAATGATTCCCCAATTTGCTGCCAGTCAATTTAATTTTGTGTCCATGGGGCGTTCCGAGCTCGTGTCATGACAAGAGAAATGGCAACTCGCCAGTTTGGCTGCTTGGGGCAGGTGGCGGAACGGATCTGGTTTCAATTTTCATTGAGCTGCCCATTTGCTGGCACTTTCGGAAATTGTTTCAACGTCGGTTTGTAATTTCACACGCAGTTAAGTGATTAGCCCAGCTTTTTTTTATTTGGCCGCAGCCTTGTTGACTCAACCAGAAATCAAAACTAGTCGAGAGGGCCTGACTAGGCGATATTCTGGGTCGAGCTGGGCTTAAAAATACTCAAGTTACACACACAAATACACATGCACACACACTCACTTAAAGACCCAGTCTGTAGACAATGCTTTCAAAATTATCTTCGGTATTTGTTGTCCGATCATTTCATGAAATTTGTAAGGCTTAAATATGACATACCAAAGCCCAAGACAATGCCTCAGTAAATGAAGTATTCTAAAATTTGTAAGGCTTAAATATGGCATTCAAATGTGTGTACATACCTAGGACCAATGAATAAAGTATCCTGGATCTAGATCTGGACTTACATTCATAACCAATTTGGCATCTACAGCTAAAAAAAGCCTCGAGATATTTCAAAATAAACAGATATGGAAATTAATTCTAATCGAACAGCTGAAGGCCTGGACGCTATTAAATATGGTATTATTTATAATATGAATGTATTATAGTTAATCTTAATAATAGGCAAATTCTTATCGATTTCTTGGGGGGAGTTATCAGTAATTAAAAAGAGGCTGTTTCTAGCTCACGTAGCCTCTGAGCATCTATTTATTATCTTATCTTATCGAAGGAATCTAAATAAAAAGTTTTCCTCTTTTGTCTGTTGCAGCTGGGGCCATTCCATGTGAAGCAGCCAACGGAGTGGCAAAAAGGCGCTCAAATTCAACGATTCGTGGCCAGCATGGATGAGGAGCACGAGGACGATCGAATAATATGAGATTAGATGGGGCTTTAGAGCCCCGTCACGGTGCTGCAACGCTGCAGGGCCGCTTTATTGGCGTTGCCAAATATCGGCGCGAGACGCGCCTAAAATCTGAGCAGCAGCAGCAACAATGCGCTGACGAAGACGACGAAGCAGCCGCAGCCGCAGCGCCACCGCCAGCAACAGCTAAGCACTTCAGCAACAACAACAACAACAGCAACAGCAACAACAATTGCCGTTGGGCAGCATTGGAGCAACAAGCTCAACACTTGTCGCCCAGCCAGGCGCCAAGCACAACAACAGCAACAACAACAACAGCGTCTAATACAAACAAAGTTAACTTGCACTTAAGCATTGAGGGCGCCACAACAACAACAACAACAACAACAACAACAGCAACAACAACAAAGGCAACAACACCATCAAATTGGCGCGCCAAAGCCGCCTCCCTGAAAATGCGTGTGGAGCAATCGTTAATGCTAATGGCGCGTCGGGTCAGCGGCAGCCAACGCCGGCTGAACATGGGGCGCCACGGCACCAACAACAATGTCCTGTGCCTGATTTCCGTTGTCGCGCTGGCAGCGCTGCTGCCGCTGCCGCCGCTGGCGCTGGCCGATGACGGTGATAATTTCTTTGCCGTTAATAGCTTCAGCGTGGGACCCGAGACGACAACACCCGAGTTCGGTAAGTTAACACCACTTGTTGGGGTAAGAGGGGGGGGGGGGGGAGCGGGTGCTGGGTTCCAGGCAGCACCTGCCGGGCCTTATCCCGTCCCACTCACAATTGCAATGCATGCAAATACCTTGTGCCACACAGGCCGTAATCAAATAGGTACAACAATGTCGTCATCATGTTGCACATTTACCATTGTTGCATAATCATCAGAGGCATGACTTCGAGCACAATTGCATGCACGTATATATGTATGCATGTATACATGCATGCATGTATGCATGTACGCATGCATGCATGCATGTATGTATGTATGCATGCATGTATGTATGAATGCATGCATGCATGTATGTATGTATGAATGTATGAATGTTTGAACGTATGAATGTATGAATATATGAATGTATGTATTTATGTATTTGTGTATGAATGTATTTATGTATGCATATATGCATGTATGCACGTATGCATGCGTGCACGTATGCATGTATGCATGCATGCATGTAAGCATGTGTGTATGCATGTAGGCCTTTTACAGCGGTCCAACTAGAGCCAGGTGCGTGCCGTGCTTTCTTACAGTTCACGAAGGCGCGTGAGTCGACAGCTTATAAGACACAAAAGAGGAAACCCTTCAACCACATTGAAAAAATAAATTTAGATAAGATTAAAATATTTTGTATATAGAGTTCCATAACTATGAATAGCTTATCGATAGATTCGATAGAGATGAAAATAGGACGGGAATCCCGTGAAAGTCCGTGAAAATAGGAAAGATCGTCAGGATTTTTTCTAGCTCCTGAACTTAGTATTACTTTTAAATTTTCCTTAAGAAATATTTTGTTACTTAAATAAAAAGACCAAATAGCCAAACAGCTCTAGTTCATTTCTTTTTTGTCGTATTTATTAGTACAGTCCGCAATTCCAAAATAAATATATATATTGTTATTATTATCGTCTGCAGACAATTCCGAAACGTTTCCATCCCTAATCATAGATAGTTTCTAGTTCTGAGCCCCGCATGCAGTGCGCAATACCACAACGAGAATTTCCATTTTTATTTCAGTTTGATGAGCTGTTGCTGCGGCATATGCAAAAAGTTTACCCTGCGGCTGCTTTGAAAATATTGCAAAAAGCGAGAGCATTGTTGAAATAAGCAAAAGTTTCTAATTATAAATGCGGTTAGCTGGGGCTGGGTCTAGAAGCAGACTTTTGTGTGCGCCTGTTAAATGGCTGACCATCAGCAAGGCGACACCAGCAATCACTTACGAGGCGGCGAGCGGGGTTTGATTTGTTGGTCGTGTGATAAATGAGCTAATGGAACGTGCCACAAGCAGCTGCCATGTTTGGTAAAATCTCTTTTTGAAATGGGTATTAAAAGGTCACAAAAATGTTGGTGGGCAGGCACTCACTGTGTCTTGTGGCACACTCGCTTGGTTGCTGCAACGTTGCCTGCCACAAAAGCGGATGCGATGCGGCAGCAGCAGCAGCAGTTGCTTTTTTAGCTGCATATGACTGGGCGCTATTCATAGTAGGCACTGCATTTATAAATAAACCGCTAGCAAATAGACATGCACAACCACACACACACACACACACACACACATACGTATATTTACCACACAAAAATGGCGCAACATTTTGCAGGCGCAGCCATTTTGTTTTGTCTTTTGCGCTTCCGCTGGCTTAAATGCTAGGCCGGCGCACATCCTCTTCCGTTTTCCCGTTGCCTGCTATCGTCAACCTCAGCCTCATCATCATCAACAACATAGGCAGTGTACTTGGTAATTATGGCAGAGTATCAGCGCGAACAAATTGGTGTATGGCATATGCGGCAACATTAACGCTGGCGCTTAACCCCTGGCTGCCGTTCAGATTTTGCGCACATTGTTGGACGCCAGTTCCGGCCGAAAGTTGCTCCCAAGTGCTTAATTAAGATGTGAGCACAACTCAACTCACTTTACATGCCGCTGGCGTGCTAGTGTGGTGGGTGTATTTTCATTTCATTCAAACTTAATGAAGAATACACCCCTCATGCTCATCCGACAAGTGGCATGTGGCATGTGGCATGTAGCATGCGGCATGCACAGGCTGAAGTGCCCACACTTGAGCCGCACTTCGGCCCCTCGAGTGTGCGTAGCCAGCAACCAAAAACATTTCGGCGCGCGGCTTGTAAAGGTGCACACAGGTTATATACCACATAGATATACACATAGATATACATACCTGTTCGTATTCGGCTGACTGACTGTCGTTGGCCCAGAGATTTATACATGAATTTACATTTTAATCTGCCACTAAGCCGCACGGGATTCAAATACTTTTCACTTTTCCAGCAGGCTGAAAATTGTTTTTCCTTTCTTCCTATTTTTTTTGGTGGGTTCTTTGTTTGTTTGGCTTAAAAGTTTGTTGCGGTTTCATTACAAATTTGTCGCTTGGGATTAGTCGAAAAACATGTGTTAAGATTTCCGTTTATTCTATCTGATATCTATATATTATATGCTATATTCACAGATTATGCCAGCCGCGGGCAGAAAAAGTTTGGCGACAAGTGCGATAATACATTGGAATGCGGCTTTCCCGGCTCCATATGCGATCCCAAAAAGAAGTACTGCCAGTGCACCGACGATCTGCAAATCACCAATCACATTGACAAATGTGGCAAGGGTAAGTGCACGGGGGAAGGGGGAAGGGGAAAGGAGGGGCTGACAGTGCAACGAGGCTTGCCTGTCAGTCTGCCAAGTTTTCATTAAAACGAATTGCAGGGCCAGCAGAAAAAAACAAATACCCCAAAGCCTTACATTGATTACTAACTTTTCTGTGAATTGAAAATCAGAAGGGAAAAACTTGGCAGCACGTTGCAATATAATGTATCTAGGGAGCAGGGACGGGTGGGGATTGTGCAAGCGCAGACTTAATTCATATTTGACATAATTATAATATATTTAGTATGCCCAGGCCACATTAAAAGCTGTAAATTAAAATCAATTTGTGCGATTATTGCTTCATTAATGATTGACATATTAATGAGCAGAGCATTTAGCCTCTGGCCAATGAGTCATCGCGACCAACTAATGAAAGGCAATGAAATTACGACTAAGTTGTGAAATCCCCATACGATATGGAAACATTTCATGACAATGCATTATCTGAGCACTAAAGCAGCTGTTTAAATATGGAGCTATTCTAACAAATCGAAAAACTGATGAAAAGATCCTTGATATAATTTTTGAGCAAACTATCATATACAATGATTAAGCTCTATACAAAATGATTCTCATCAAATCAATAATAAAGTAAAAAAGTATCTCTTATGAGCTTATAATTTAATATTCAATAATTTGGTTGGCATTCCTGGAACACATGCCTTTTTTTAATTGGGATAGCATTCTATTTTTTTAAAACTCTGTTGTTTATTGCAAAGGCAAAATGTTATCAAAAGATAAAGAATTCGAATTTCTTAAATGCGTGCGAATTGCTTTTGGTTAAAAATACTTGAATTTTTTTGCTTGGTTTACTTTTGCAAAGTGAAGTATAGCTCAACTAAATGAATCACTCGAAATTGTTAATGATACCTTAAATTATAAATAAAATATGAAGTACTAACAGGATTTTCAGTTTAAATATTAAATATATTTTCTGGGCATGATTGACCCTCCAGCAAAGCCGTGAAAGACTTAAGAACTTTTAAATTTTTTTGTATTTTTGTTATTATTATTAGCAATATTATTATTCTTATTATTTTTATTACTCCGAAGTGGAGATAGGCTCGTTTAGAAGGGGTCAGTGTGATATGCAGGAGGCATTTTCCCCACCTTAGCCCAAAAAACAATATTATTAATATTATTAATATTATTATTATTTTTATTATTATTATTATTATTATTATTATTATTATTATTATTATTATTATTATAATTATTATTATTATTATTATTATTATTATTATTATTATTATTATTATTATTATTAATATTATTATTATTATTATTACTATTACTATTACTGTTATTATTATTACTATTATTGTTATTATTAATTTTTGTTATTTATTAATATTAACATTGTTTTCATAAAGTTTTTGCATTATTATTTCTGAATCGTTGTATATGGGAAAATAATATTTACCTCATTTTATATTGGCTTTTGAACTCTATGTCATGACAGATATATCATATAACCACACAGAAAATACGACATATAAAATATGAATATTTTGAAAACTGTATAAAATACTATTTAGCAGTTGTTCCGTACTTTTACAGTAAAATTTTTGGAAACGTTTACCTCAATGGCATTTCCATCTCTTTCCCATAAATGCCAGCTATAAATACTAAAACCCACCCAGTAATTATTGCCGACACACAATAAGCCCAAATTCTCAGACTATGCTTATGTATTTACACACATGCTAAAATTATTCAAATACAACATTTTGAAGGGCACTATAAATAGCCAGACAGGTAGGTGGGGCGGGGCGGGGGCTGTTCCGGACTGTGCGCTATAAAAATATTTGTCTGGCGGTCATCAAACTGACGCCAGCGAGGATTGACTCAGCCACAAGTTGAGTCCAACTGTTCCGTTCTGTGCACTCATAAAACAAGCGTGTAAACAAGCTCCGGATAGATATATAGAGTATACACACATATAGATAGTATCTATATGTAGCTACATGTGTGAATCATGGTCACAAGGATTCACTGTTTGCTCCTTACTTTGCAGCGGCTGCCATCAACGAGTCCTGTTTCTTCAACGAGCAGTGCGAGGCGATTTACTTTCAGACCGAATGCCGCGACGGACGTTGCATATGTCGCTTCGAGATGTCGCCCATTTGGGGCAAGGATGGGTCCGTTGAGTGCAAAGGTCGGTGCGCCGCGACAGCGATATTGTTTGCCCAGCAGGAGGAGAATAATTGTCTTTGTCGTTATATGTTTGCAGGACGCCAGGACAAGCGACCGGACACATACCTTGATCCGGCCATGATTGGCGTACTGGTAGGAATGGCATTGATGTTTGTTATTATTTGTGTCGTCCTGCGATTGTTTAGCCAGTGAGTAAATTGCAATGCAAACATTTATCACTTATCACTTATCAGCATACACCCAAAAAAAGAAAACGATGAGCCAAACACTTCCTTCCACACATGCCCATAAATTAATTGGGTCAATGGGCTGTGCGGGGGGGCGGGGGCGGGCAGCTTCATTAACTCAACTCAATTTGTTGGCTTGACGTTGCCCTGGCTGCGGGCCAAATGATACATAATTTGATCAGCAATTAATTTCACTTAGATGAACAAAATTTGCGGCATTAATTGGCATTAAACGCAATCAGGAGCAACGTCAACGTTGCGGTCAATATCAATCCGCCGGGGCCTTGGCACATGTCCTTTCCAGCTACTAATCCGGCATTGTTTTGCTTGCGCTCTTGCAGGGCACGCTGGCATGAGAATCGCACCATATTCAATACGCCGAATCCACGTCTGATGAACGTCTCCCTGTTGCGGGACAACAAGCTGCTCCATGGCCAGGACAGGCGCGGCTCACGGATGTCCGTGCGGGCGCCATCCCGGCAGCCGAGCATGGCATCGCTGCGTCCGCACTCGCCGAATCCGTCGCTAGGTAAGACAGGTTTGTATCCCATATATATGTGGCTACCATTTATTGATGGCACCTGTTTTACTGTACTGTACCCAGTGCGCATTTTGGCTTTGGTTTCTTAATTTGTTTATTTGTTTGTGTGTTTTGTCGTTTTAACTTCATTTTGTTTGATTTATGCTAATATTTTGTTCAAGAACTTGCAGAACTTTCTGCACACAGTAAGAATAAACTCGAATCAATCAATCAATCAATCGATCAATCAGTCAGTCACCAAAACAACTAACCAAACAAATCACAGCGGAAATATATATAATTACGAAAATCCGTAAATTCGAACAAAAATGCGTGTGAGTGTGCAAAAAGTCGAGCTCTTAGCAAAAACAAAATGTTATTTTCTAATATCTTAAGCCTATAAGTTAAACACTTTTCTTGATTGACATTTGATAATAATTTATAAATAAAAAAAAAATAAATTTAATGCATGTATTTATAGCCACCAAAAAAAAAAGTAATAAACATTGCGAAATCATCGACAAAGCAATTATATCAATTGAGATGCGAAACAAATATTAAGGCAGGTGTTTTTTAGGGAGAGCAGATAAGAAGAAGATGGTTCAAGAGGGTTTGAATTTGCAGAAGGTTTTAGAACTTTTATTAATTTGCTTGGGAATTCAATACATTTATTATGATCTAATATCCATGTGCTTAACTCAAAAGATATTGATAGCTTTATAACTCAAATGATATTTATAAAGTTCTTTATACGAAAGTTTTCGAGCTTAACTAGATTTGCTGAAGGAATAAGAGAATTAATATCAGGAGGTGCAGGAGTTAAGGATTTTATTATCTATTATCTATTATTATCTAACCAAACTTGTGAGCTATTCTTTTCTATAAATTAAATATAAATTATTTGTGTTATTATAAACTTTAGGATACCAAGTGTAAGATTTGACTACACAATATATCTGCATAATATAACAGTCTAACAGTCTGAGCATACTTTTAACCCGCGTAAACACTTATAGAATCTAAAATGAACCAGTCCGTTGCATATATAACAGTTATTGACAGCTCTCACTTCCATGAGCCTCGGGCTTTACCTATTAGTTAAAGAGCTCCTGAGGTTTACCCAATCGAGTGGATCGCAATGTGATTGGAATTTTCTGTTCAAAACAAGGCGACAAGTTCAAGTGTGTGTGCGGGGCCCAACTCTGTGGGGCTCAATCAAATTGATTGACGTCTTAAGAACCGTTAAATTTAAAGGTGGAATATTTTTTTTTTTTGGTTACCCGTGCAGCTGCTGGGCTTGTTATCTAAAGTCCCGCGGACAGTTGTTGCCAATTACCTTTGTTCTCAGTGATTAAGTTTATTGTTATTTGAGTTTTGTGTCGCGTTGCCAAACAATAAACATTCTCTTTGCTCGCCGCCTGCTCTCTCTTCTGCCACACTTACCGACACACACACACACACACACACACACACGCACGCACGCACGCACGCACATTGCTGTAAAAGGTCGCATGATACGCTCGAAGAGCAACACACGCTCCAGCGACTCACGTGTCAGCGATGTTTCCAACTGTTCGCGTCTCCTGGAGCATCCGAGCGCCGCCAACCAGTACAATGTTGTCCATAGCCATTTTTTGCCCTACGTGCCAACCACAACAACAACAGCGGCCAGTGTTGCCAACGCCACAACCTATGTTGCCCCACTCACAACGTTGACGCCGACGCCAACGCCAACGCTGACGCCGACGCCGACGCCAGCGTCAAGCAACACCGTGACGACCACGTATGTGTCGTCGCCGGGCGCGGCGCCCGCCTGCGGCATGACTGCCAATCCGGGTGCCAATAAGTTTTAGTCTTAGGCCATATAAATCCAGCCATATCAGTACCAGTGCCAGGTCCACAACCAGTTCCAGTTCCAGTTCCAGTACCAGTTCCCGAGGTATGCAGCAACGTTGTTGTAGCCGCCATTTTTGTTGAATGTGTTGTTTAGCTGTGTTATGCCCAGTGTCCTGTAAATTGTAGTTGCTGTCTTTGTTGTTGTGCCAAAAAAACTGTTGTTGTACGAACCTAACATTAGAGCTAAGACGTAGTGAGAGTTGCCGTTAACTTCTATACCAAGTAACCGCTCCCAAACTAAGTATAACAATTACTAACCCCATGTATGCGCCACCAGACACTCCACACACAACACTCCACACGCAACACTCAGCCAAGACACACTTAATGTTACGATTATGGTTAAAGTTTAGCTTCCAGCTAAAGCTAAAGTTAAAGTTAAGTTACAGATTTAGTTGTTTAGTCTGCTCTCTATATGCTATGTACACTTAGACACCTCAACTGAAGATTACGAAACTGTCATATAGTACTCCCAAAAAAAACACTTGCGAAACCATATACCATATAAATATATACATATATATAAATAGTGTTTAGCAGCGTCTGTATTTTGTTTTCAATTCAATTCGATTCCCGTTTCCGTTTCCGCTTTTTGTTTACAGTTTTTATGCACGCCATTTTCCAGTTTTGTTTCTGCTTTAAGTATGCTTGGGTAACTAGTTTTATATGACTAATCTCTTTATACCCTTGCAGAGCCCATAACGTCCACTTTATTAGATATATATAACAAATATTTTAGATCAAGCGCAGGGTATTCTCGTCTTTTGTCTGATATTCTATATGTCTGTTCGTTTCGCAGTTTAAGCATATGCTTAAGTAAAACTTTGCATAGGATCTTATTGCTGGAAAAGACGGTAGATATATATAGTATATCATAAAGCTGTCATAGGAGCTATCGGTCGAAATTTAAATTTTTTATCAAATTTTTGTGTATATAAAAAGGGCGGCAAATTCAAACAATTTTTTGTTGGTACGGTTCACAGATTTGTTCGTGATGTTCATGGATTTGGCTAAACCATCGAAATTGCACGCAGTTATGTTTTAAGTCCAAATCATCTATCCTGAAGATTCCATTGCACGTTCTTTTAAAACTGTTTGGGTTGAGTTTTTATTTGGGCAGCTAGTTAGGATCGTTTCACAGTAAAGAATCAATTAAAGTACGGGATACGAATGAGTTTAGTTCAAAACTAATTTGCAGCCTTCATTTTATACAAGCTACATAATTTTAAGCTCGACGTATAATGGAACAATTGTCATGGGGTATTTTATTATCGGGCTAAGATGTAGTTTTCATAGTATTGAAAATATTATATTTTAATATATCTTAGGCAGCTTTATTGTGCTTCTGAGAAGATATTTCTCTATTAAATATTTTGCATATTGCAGCTAAATTTGAGCCGGCGATCTCTCGCTGCTCAGTCCAACGCGCAGACATGTAGAACAGCTCATTTATCGTTTAAGGGTATTTAATCTTCTCTGCAAGGGTATTCAAACTTCGGCACTCCGAAGAGAACTACTCTTACCTATTAATTGCTTATTTTATAACTAAGAAAGCGTAGTATCCAAGTATTTGTGTGCGTAGACCGTGTTTCAATGTAGTCTTGTGCTCGTACGGATGCCTTTGTGTTCCTTCTCTACAAGAGTTAGCTGAATGCCAAACTTACCGGCGCCTGAGTGAATGCCGGCTACACCTGCCATGTTGTAATCGTTGTTGTTGTCTTTATACGTTTATCCCTTGTCTGTGGCACTTGTTGAAAATAAAAATGATGTAATAAACATTCGCTCCACAGGCTCCCAGTCGGACTCCCATGGCAGCAATGCATCCGCCACATCGGTGCGCTCGAACCGCAGCAATTCGGTGGCGCCGCGCAAGGTGTCCGGCGGTGGTCATCCCGAGCGGCACGGCTCCTCGCATCGCCAGCATCATGCGCAGCTGAAATCGCCGCAGGAGGAGTCCCTGATAACGAACATAACCACAAATCCCGTGGCCGAGAGCGTGACCGTTGAAATTATTGAACCCGGACAGAAGTGAACAAAGGCTATGCAGTAAAAAAAAATATTAAAAAAAAAGAATAAAAAAAAAAATGATAATAACACGTATAAACGAGTCAACAAATCGTCGATATCGTCGTTTAATATGCACGCGATAGTAAGCAGAACATAATGCCATTGTTAGAACTTTTTTTAAAAGACCGTTTTTTTTTCCAATTTTTCGAAACCGTAAGCCGGTACGCCGTAAAAGCGTATTACACACAACAACAAATGCTAATTAATTGCTTACATATACATATAAATAAATATATATATATCTAGTTATATATAGCAATCGATGTATATATCGAATGGATATATACGACTACACCGTGGAAAAAAAATGTTCGAAAAAAAACCTTGCATAACAAATTCATACTAATCTTTTTTTCAAAAAAAAAACAACAAAAAAAAAACAAACGAGCAAAAAAATTTAAAAAAAAAAAATGGATCATGAAAATGAAATACTTTATTAATTTATATAAATATTGTACGCAGATCTAAAGCTTTTATGCCTAGGCACCCAAGCAAAAAAATTTCGTAGAAATAAAAGCGTTTTTGTAGGCAAGATTTAAAACGAAACCAAAACAATGGAATTTAGAAAAATTGTGTTTTTGCTAATATATATATACATATATATCTCTTATACTAAAAGGAAAAGCGAAAATCATTGCCAAACAACAACAAAATTGGGACACACAAAATACAAAGCAGACTATGTACAATGTACATACGCACAACGCCTTATCTTATCTATATCTAGATGCAGCTACCGATGTGGCAACGGCTAGTATATATACACACACATACATATATATAGATATATGTGTGCAGTATAGAGAGCGCAAGTTCCGGCCACACCTCCAATTGCTGCTATCGCCCCCCCTCCCAAAAAATATGGATATTATTATTCTTATAGCCAATGCAAGAGCACACACAGATATAAAAAAAATATTATAAAACCTCGGGACCATATTTTATAATCAAAATATGCGTTTCAATTAACGTTGCACGCACGTATTAGTTCCCACTAAAAGCCATTTTGTCAAGTGTTTTATTCGATATTAATTTTTGACTAGCTATTGTTAAACGCTGGCTGAACTAATGTTTAGGGAACTCACACAAACACGAAAACTAGAAAGGAAAAGAAAATCTAAGAAAAGCTAAGAAAAGCTGAGAAAAGCTGAGAAAAGCTAGCACAATGCACAGTCAAGTGCCGTAGTTCGAGTAGTTAGCGCCTAACCAAGTCTAAACTAAACACGAGTAGCTGCTAATAATAATAATCTAAATTGACTTCCAGTTAAAGTTACCAACATTTCAGTTCTTTACAACACTGTAACATTTTTGTGCTAAATCTCCTTAATTTCAAACACACACACAAATTTTCGTTTTTTTTTGGAATCCTCTGGAATGGTCGGCCGGGGCTGAGCACTGGGCGAGCCAATAATAGGGGAAGATTCTTCGTGCGTCCAGTGCTGAGCCCACATTTGGCTGGCCAAAAAGAATTTAAAAAAAAAAAAAATAACAAGATTATATATATATACATATATAGTACTTAGAATGTTGAGTATGTTAAGGTCTTTTGGTTTTCCGCAAAGCCCCCCCTCAACAAAACTCTCATTTGCTTTTGTGCTCAATCAAAGAAGCTTAACTGTGAGAATAACAAAATGAATACAAAACGTGTTTGTACTTGAAACAAAACAAATTACAAATAAATAAAAATAAAAATAACAAAAAAAAACCTATATTACTAAATACGAAAACCTAAAGAAATATGCCGAAAATGGTACAATTTAGTAGAGCGAGCGAATATCGCATAATCTTAAACAGAAATATTTGAGGAAAAATTTCCAAACAAACAAAAAGTAAATGAAAAATGCTTTAAAAATACATATATATATATTTAACTAGCTAAAATCGAGTAACTATAATTACGATATAAAAAGCAACATAATTTTATTCAAATTGCATCGAATTTTTCCTTAAACAGCAAACAAACAATCTTATTTCTAGGGCATCAAAACTATAGACATACCTTTTTACATTCCGAAGCACAAGAGCGGGAAGCATACAGAATTATAGAAAATAGATCAGATCGAGAAAGAAATGGTAAAGGGAAAGGTAAAGGAAAAAAAACAACTTGAGCATTGAAATTTGGGGAAGGATTTCAAGGTTTAACTTGGTTTTTGTGACAACACTAAAATCTAAGCACAGATATAGCTAAACTTAAACTTAAATATATACATATATATATACATAAGATTTATGAACATTCTCCAAACACTGATTTTTCTATTTACATCAAACTACAAAAATGTTGAAGGCAGACTTTAAGTAAGCGAATTTTAAATAAGCGAAAAATCATAAGAAACAAATAAATATATACATCAATATATGCTTTATTTACTTTAAAAAACTTATACACGAAAAAAATACATTTAAAAATTAAAACAAAAAAAAAAATAAACATATACACACTTCTTGTCTAGTGAAAATCTATGCGATAAATTCATTTACACTCTACCAAAACAATTTTATACATAACATCGTAAATCGAATTAAATCAAATCTATCTATACAAAAGAAAGGCAGAATAGTTGAAAAATAAAAACACAATCGCACAGCAAAGCGACAAAAAATTATATTATTAATTAAATATGAAAGCTAGAGCAAAAACTGCATTATACTCAAGATTTCTCATGTGACTCATACAAAAACTAGGCACAAGAACAACCAACTAGGAGTTGAGCGTAGTTAATATACTTAGTTTTGAAAAACTTAAGCCGAACCGTATTCAGGTTTATTTAGCGCGCTAGTTAATCGTTAAGTAAATAAATGCATAACAAGAATAAACAAATACTTGCAAAAAAATGCTTGATTTTTTTCCCAAAAACTTCAAGACGAAAAGAACTTCGTATATTATACATATAAAGTGCATATATATACACATATATATATATACAAAATTATATAGATTTATATTTAAAAATCAGTTCACTATAATAAAAACTATATATTACCATAACTTACAAAAAAAAAACAAAAACAACAACAGTCTTTTCTATAGTGTGGTGCCCCTGAAAACGCTCAGCCTGCCCTCCGGATGCGCCTGGTGCTCCGGCTCCGGCTCCGGCAATCCGCGCTTGCCCATCACGCGCTTATGGAAGCTCTGCTCGGCGACGTGGCGCAAGTGCTTGGCACTGCTCGGCCCGGTCTTCTCCACGAAACGATAGAGATGTCCGTTGCGCTGCTGCAGCAGCTCATGCGGATGACCCAGCTCGACGACACGGCCCGCATCCATGACCAGGACACGATCCGAATCCATGACCGTGTGCAGGCGATGGGCAATGGTCAGCACCGTGCAGTTGGCGAACTTGGTGTGTATCGCCTCCTGGATGAGCTGATCCGTGCTGCAAAAGCCAAGAAGATTAGCTCAATGATTATATCGCGTGCCTAGCCACTTACTCCGGATCCACATTGGCCGTCGCCTCGTCCATGATGAGTATTGTATTATGCCGCAGAATGGCGCGTGCCAGGCAAATCAGCTGTCGCTGGCCCATGCTGAAGTTGGCGCCGCCATCGTGCAGCCTGTAGCTGAGCCCACCTTTGAGCGCTGTCACAAAGGCCTTCAGCTTGACGGCGTCCAGCGCCTGCCACAGCTCCGCGTCCAGCTGGTGCTCGAACGGATCCAGATTGTAGCGCAGCGTGCCCGAAAACAGTACCGGATCCTGCGGTATAATCGAGATGCGACTGCGCAAATCGTGCAGACCCAATTTGCCGATATCGTAGCCATCGATCTCGATGAGTCCCTCGTTAAGGGCCAGGCGAAAGACCGCCTGCACGACGGAGGATTTGCCGGCGCCCGTGCGACCCACAATGCCCACCTTCTCCTTGGGATGTATGGTAAAGCTCAAGCCCTTCAGCACATAATGCCCATGGTCGCTGTAGCGCAGTCGCAGATCCTGGAAGTGCAGCTGACCCGCACTGGGCCACTTGGCGGGCAGATTGACAGCTGCCGCCGTCTCGTAGGAGGGCTCCGGCGGCAGCTGGACGTACTCCAGGACGCGCTCAACGCTGGTCATCTGATTCTCCAGCTCGACGGTGTGTCCCATGCCCCACTGACAGATGATGCTCAGCGTCATGGACTGCGTTATGGCCAGGCCCACATCGCCGCTGTAATAGTCCCGATCGAACACTAGAAAGCTGAACGTAACCACCAGGATGTACAGCACACAGATGAGATCCGTCCAGAAGGCAAAGGCCCGATTGACACTACCGTACAAATAAACGGCCGAGGTGTTCTCGTTCTGATAGCTATGGAAGCCCCGCTCCAGACGCTTGGTCGCATTCAAGGCGCGAATGGTGGTCAGGCCCTTAAAGGTCGCATTTGTGTACGAGTAGATGGGACTGCGGGCTGTGGAGGGCAGAAGAAACAGGTGAACTCAGTAATATATATATGCAGCTGATATGAAAGGTTGAAAGTGGGCGTGGCTTAATAGGAGACTCTTTTTGAAAGTTATTCCAAGGCAAGGTAAACCAAGGTTTCAAGCTGGTTTTGATCTAAGCCGGAGCTTTAGGCTGTGCTTTAGGAAAATTCATCTGGTAAAGAATAAACCTTTTGATATTTATTTAAATAGAAGAAAAATTAACTGGACAGCGAGCTCAGATCAGGGTCTCTTTAGCAAGAGTAGGACTTTCCCCTTATCAGGGAGGTCGACCCTTATTAGGGAGGTCGACCGCCCATCAAGAGAGCTCCAGGCCCAACAGACCCTCTCGATCGCACTGGCGCCTCCCTTCTTTTTAAAAGACTCCCATTCGCAATATACATATAATCCCGTTACATATTCCTATGATTCCCAACGAATTGTCTACTCACAGATGGTCTCGATGCGCTTGAGGCTTCTGCTGGCGCCTATGTAGAGGCTGCGGGTAAAGTAGAGCAAGGCAATCATCACAAGCGCTGGAATAGTCAGCCAATAGTTGGCGATGCTCACAACCAGAAGCACAGCCAGCCCATTGATAAAGAACTCCAGAGATTCCATCATAGACTGCGGCAGGGTGATGTCAATGGCCAGAATGTCGCTGGAGAAGCGATTCAGAATGCGTCCCGAGGTGGCCAAGGTAAAGAACTGCATGCTGGCGCGTATGATGCCGCGAAAGAGGAAGTTATGAATGCGCAGCGAGATGCGCAGGCACATCATAAAGAAGCCAAAGGTGCGCAGCACATACAGAAACAGGGTGCTCACAATGAGCACGGCGTACAGGGTGACCAGGCGTGTGCGAATCCTGCGCCGTTCAATGGGCGGCTCATGTTCGTCCGGCTGCGTTTCCTCCCACGTGGCCCTGAGGGGTGGATAAATATGTGTAATATTAATTTGATGTAGATAATGAGTAAAATGCCAGAGCCCTGCATCCCCTTAAAGGGATGTGGATACTAGAGCAATTATTTTAGTCGAACGAATCAAACCTTTTTGCTAATTGAGCTATTGGAGTTGCTGACAAGTCCTTTGAATCAATAGAAAAAGAAGCATGAGCTAATGGAGCTTTCATCGAACTCGACTATTTCAGTCGAGTTCGAACACAACATGTTGCATGTTGCGGTTCGAAGTTTGTTTTTTTTGAATGTCATTGGGTTTGATGAATCGTTTATACGAACAATGCTTAGCTCGATGCTCAATAGCTCGAGTTGATTGGATTTTGTGGACATCAATTTAGGGCTCTAGAAAATACATACCATTTGGACAGAAAAATGTCCATGGTGGCCTCAAAGCCACGCGCCAGCAGAAAGACTACAAATATGAGCAGCACCACGAACGGCAGACCGAGCACAGCAAAGTATTGCTTGTAGGTGGTTAGTTTGACGGAGCCCTGGAACTGCTGCTCCTTGTAACGCTGCTCGTGCTCGTCCACCTGCAGCTGGAGCTGCTGCTGCGAGAGTGGCTCGTGCGGCGGCGCCTCCTCAAAGATGCTATCGGCACGCACGGCGCGCAATTTGGCCACCTCGCTGTCATTGGCGACGGACATGCGAAACCGGATGAGTTTCTTGAGCGACTCGTATCCGCCCTGTATGGAGGCACGTCCGGCCTCCATCAGCACCATGTGATCGGCATGGCGCAGCAGGGTCACGCGATGTGTGACCAGGATGCGTATCTTGTCGCTGAGAAACTCATGGAGGCAGTGCTGCAGGAGCAGCCGGCCCACATGGGAGTCCACGGCGGAGAGCGGATCGTCCAGCAGATAGATGTCCGCCTTGCGGTAAACAGCTCGCGCCAGGCTAACCCTAGCCTTTTGGCCGCCGCTCAAGCTGGCGCCGGACTCGCCCACCATGGTGGCATCTCCGTGCGGCAGCTGCTCAATGTCCTTCTCCAGCAGGCAGACACGCAGCACCTCCCTGTAGCGATGCTCGTCGTAGGGCTCCATGAAGACAATATTCTCGCGGATGCTGCAACGATTTAGCCAGGGCTCCTGCGGCGCATAGCTGATGACGCCATTGAGCTCCACGCTGCCGCTGATGATGTCCAACTCGCCGAGCAGAGCGGCCAGCAGCGTGCTCTTGCCAGCGCCGACGGTGCCCACGATGCCAACAAATTGCTGCTCCTCGGCCTCGAAGCTGATGTCCTCGATGTGCCGCTGGCGTTTCTCCTGGCTGGACTGATCCCAGCTGGCGGTCAGCTGGCGCAGCGTGACGCTCTTGCGCAGCGCCAGCGGATTGTGCAGGCGTCCAAAATAGTTGCCATGCTGCAGATCATCGTCCACGTCGGTAAAGTTGGTCACACCGCCATCGGCGGGATCCTCGTGCTGCAGCAGAAAGTCCAACAGCCGGCGGGCAACGACAAACGTCTCCGCCCAGGAGTTAATGGCCAGCGGCCAGAGATGCAGCAGCGAGTGATTGAGATGGTCATAGTAGCTGGACACCATGAACACCTTCTGGGCGGTGACAATGTCGCCAGTGAAGACGTATGTGACCAGGCACAGGAACAGCGACAGCTTGGAGATCATGTCGGTGCACTGGAGCCCCGCATAGACGTACATGGTGCCGCGTATGGCGCCCATCTCTTTCCGGCGCACACGTGCGATCAGCTTGGCGAAGGACTTCTCCCAGGCGTACATCTTGATCACCTGCATGGCCGATATGATCTCGTTCATCAGCTTGACCCGCTCGTCGCCGTATTCCGCCGAGAGGCGCTTGAAGCGCGCCGTCGCCTTCGCCGCCCACACCTGCAGCGGTATGAAGAGTATAATGGTGGCCATGCCCACCAGAGCTGGCCAGCCGATCACTTGGTAAATAATGTAGCCAAAGATCAGGCCCTCCAGCGGTCCCTTCCACAGCTCGTGGAAGAAGTAGAAGGTCTCATTGAACTGCGGCAGATCCGTGGACATCAGGGCAATCGCATAGCCGCTCATCCCGCTGTTATCCGATGCCACGGAGACGCGCAGGCACTTCCTGTAGACCAGTCCGGCGCAGGCCAGACGGATGCGAGCGCCCAGCGCAAACAGATGGAACATAAACGGATGATAGCAGAGCACCTTGACCAGCGAGCAGAGAACCACGCCCATGGCGTACAGATAGGCCGACTCCATGGACTCGTAATCGTTGCCCTCCGAGAAGAAGGACACCAGCTTGCCCAGCAGCAGCGGCTGCATAGTGCTGCAATGCGGGGGAATACATAATGAAGGAACACTTTGGGTTGCTTCGACTTACTGCAGGGAGATCTCCACCAGCGAGTAGAGTATGCAAAAGGGCACAAATTTCGCTCCGTACGCCTTGAAGATCATGTGCAGCACACTCGGCTGCGGCCGTTTCAGCTCACGCTCCCAGTGGCCCAGCAGATCCTGGGACACCTTTGTACTATCCAGGCTGGGTACATTCGCATACAAATCGGCGGGTTCAATCGATTTGCCATGGCCTTTGCGCAGAATCTCACGTGACCAGCTGACAAAAACAAAACGTCAGGCGATTATTCTTGACGAACTTTCTGTTATGGCTAAGTTGTTTTTTAAATTAAATCTAGTCAAGAGTAGCCTACTATAAAATACCCTGTACGCAGGGTATAAGGTGAACCCGTGACACCTCAGCCTTTAAAAAATATATTCCTAAAAAGCTAACGAGTTTTTTGTCCTTTATTATTTAAGGAGAATGTGGAGTATATATCCCCCAAGTAAACCATGAAAGTAAAATTTAATCATATTAGATGTCTCCTTTACCCCAAAAGAAATGCTCAAATTAATTTTGGGAAAAACTAAGGGAGTTATCCACAATATGAAAATATAAATTAACCTTTTCTAAACAAGCATTTTCCATGGTGACTTTTTAATCTTACTTAGTTTATATTTTATGATCAATAAAGTATTAAGTAAATTTGCATAAAAACTGACAATTGCTGTATTTGAACCGGCGATCTCTCGCTAGCTAGTCCGACGTTCAACATTTACAAAGCACACTTTTTATATGACAGCGTTGATTATCGAATGTAACGAACAAGCTTCGACTCCCTTTTAGCCCACTTGGAGCTCGAATTTTTGAAACGCGTTTTCCTAGGAAAAGTTGTAGTAAATATGACAGCTTCGTAGTCCTTACACCTCAGGCTGTGCATTGGTCACCGTTCGGTCTGTTTTATCGTGTTTCACATTTTTCGCAAAATCAAAGTTTCCTCGTTAAAAAGTGCGATTAAATTATTTTTTTGCTGCATTTTTAAGATTTGTTCGATTTGAACTTTATGAATTCGTGTTTTACCGATTTGGGAAAATTGTATGAAGTTTTTGCTTACCGTCCGATCGGTTTCAAACTCATTTTCAAAGATCTTTGAGAGAATTTCTTTTATACGTGCCACGGGCACAGGTCGAAATTTCGCACTTCTTCAACTCGGTCAATTTGGCATCTATCAAAATTTCCCACACCCCTAACTCGGTCAAAACTCAACCGATTTTCATAAGGCTTGGCTTTTTGTTAATGGCTTGACCTCTAGATCAATTGGAAATCTAAATCTGGCAACTCTTTTTTTTTGGTCAAAATTCATGTGAAAATGGAACCCTTAAATATCCTATATAGACATAGGTCAAAATTTCCCACCTCCATAACTCGGTCAAAACTCATCCGATTTTCATAAGGTTTGGCTTTTTGTTAATGAATTGAATTCTAGATCAATTTGGCATCTAAATCTGGCAACATTATTTTTGGACAAAATTCATGTAAAAATGGTACCCTCAAATATCCTATATAGACATAGGTCGAAATTTCCCGTCCCCTTAACTCATTCAAATCTCATCCGATTTTCATAAGGCTTGGCGATTTGTTTATGGTTTGGCCTCTTGAACAATTTTGTTATCTAAATCTGGCAACATTATTCTTGATTATTGTTCGTTTGTCGATTCCAGCTCTTAGTCACGGATACAGACAGCCAAAGGTTAGTCTGATCAGTCGTTTATAAATAGTTTTATTGTCGTCAGCTCTTTATCATGCATGCAGACAGACAAAGGGACGATCAGATAATGCTTGATCGATTCAGCTTGTTTGGAGTGTGCATGCTTGACACTTATAGCACAATTTTATTAAAACATGCTAGATCAGGCTAGACAAAAGATACGTGCAGAATGATTTTAAATAACAAGAACTGTAACTTTGGCACATTCTGAAAAGCGTTGCGGCACTGTCATAAATCTGTGCGCGATTTCCTCTTCAGGTTTATCTTATCACGACGGCGACAGGCGACAGGAGCATAGCACATGTTGTAACACAATTGTCAGCATTTGATCAATTACGAAATTAGCCACACATCGCGTATACGTAATGCCGCATACATTGCGTATACGTTTAGCACTTTAGATTTCCTTATATTGACTAAGCCGCGTTAAATTTATGGTTAGACATTCTTTGAAGGCCATTTATACGGGGATTTATGGATCGCGCGCACACTCACATAAAAAACCACTTGGAGAAGAAATTCGCGTTTAGCACTGGATTTGGTTTGCGTTCCTCCTTTGTCGCGCACATTGTTTGGCATGGGCTTCACACAGCTGGCCAACTTGCAGCTCCAAAAATTATGATCTGTATATATCAGCTATATTCCTTTTATATCACATAGGTATATATTTCTCAATATTAATATCCTTTAGCACAATTCCCGCATGTGGCCGTTGCCTTTGACGCTTCGCTCGCAACTGATTTGCCGTGTGTGAAAAGCGTTTGATTTTTAACTAAATGTTGCGCTACGTTCCCGAATCATCGCTATAAATCAATGATCCAGGCTGCCCTATCGCCCCTCTTGGTGGCGGTTTTATCTAAATGCCGCCTGACAGCAAATCATCAGCCGAACTGCAGTCGCAACCACAGCTCGCGAGTCGCGGCTAGAAAACATGGCCACGGCCGTAGTTCAGGGCAACAGTTAGCTTCAAAAACGAATGCTGAGTAATACCTCTATTTAATACCCATTAGCTAGTTTAGAAGAAAGTATCATACAATTCCAACAGACAGAAAGCAACTTCTTTAATCTATCTAATCGCGCCGACTTAGAGTCGATACGATGAAGACCACAGCAGAAAAAGTTTATTTTTAAATAATTAAAATTTTTAACTTAATCGATAATTGCCGATAACAACCGCCAGTGCTCCGAATCGATAAATATCGATCCCCAGCCCAGGTTTGTTAAGCATATCTTCACCATTATCCATTTTTCTTATAGCTTACACAAATCAAAACTATTTGGAAATACCTTTCCCTACTTCCGCCGCAATCAAAAGAAATTTTCTCTTTTTTTTTGGTGTATACATACAATATAATGCCATCTTGAAGTTCTCTGAATTTCACAAAAGACCTCAAAAATTAAACATGAAAATTGTCATAGAATTAATTTTAAAGTATGCAACCAGCTATAAAAAGTTGCTCGTAGGTGGGTACAGAGTATCTCCTAGTCGGGCACCCTCGACTAGTGCAGACTAACTAGTAATTTGTTGTTGTTTATTTTAATCAGTTATTCGAACTATGTTTTATTACAGTTTTTAGCTATTGACAATTTTGATTAAAGCTCGTCCCACTTAACAAAAAGTGTTTTTCATCAAATTTTTATCTGTTTTAGATGTACGATATGTATTGTACATTTTATGACTATTTATAAATAACAGGTAATAGCACTTGAGGCGTACAAAATTAATTTATTATTTGGTGTAATAATTCTCAGGCACTTTTATTGAGATTTTGTACGTAAATAGCTACATACATAAGTACAATTTCGTAACGCTACGCTATATAGTAAATAAATACTACATATTGTATATAGTAGATGTATACAAAAAAATAGCACTGACATAATTTGATTAAAGTTGCATTTGGATTTGTGCAAATTGCTTTCGAGTTCTACAATTATATGAAGACATAGCGGAGGCATATTAAGTAGTATATAGATATCCTAACGGAAGAGTTGCATTCTTAAATTCGCCATTTGTAGTTTAAGTAACAAGTTAACAATTGAATCACGCTTACATACATAGATATATGTACATACTTATATACGGAATTAGGGCTTAGACAATTACAAGTACAAAACAGAAATTAAAGTTAAGTACAACATAACGCGATGTACGCTCATAATACTTTCAGTTCCCAATGCTATACATCTTAAGTAAGTTTGTTTGTGTGTAAGTTGTTATTGTGCTACTCCTTCTGCTCGTTCAGCGCCACGGTGAGATTAAGGTCCTCGGCAGGCACACGTCCATCTAACAGCCGCTTGCTGTAGCTCTCCTCGGCCGCTTGCTGCAGCGAATTTGCCGTCGCTGAGCCCGTGTTGTCCACCAAATGCCGCAAATAGCCACCGGAGCGCTGCAGCAGCTCATAGGCATGTCCGAGTTCGCGCACTTCGCCCGCATCCATGACCAGCACACGATCTGAATCCATAACTGTGTGCAGTCGATGGGCAATTGTGAGCACCGTGCAGTTTGCAAACTTGGAGCGTATCGTTTGCTGAATCAGCTTGTCGGTTCTGTGAGAAGAGAGCAGAATTGAAGGAAAGAGCTCGAATAATGTCAAATATCGATGCTTACTCTGGATCCACATTCGCCGTAGCCTCGTCCAGGATCAGCACGCGATTGTTGCGCAGTATCGCGCGTGCAAGGCACACAAGCTGGCGCTGGCCCACGCTGAAATTGGAGCCGCCATCGTACATGCGACAATTGAGTCCACCAATGAGCGTGGATACATAGGAACGCAGCTCGACATCGCCCAGCGCCTTCCACATCTCATCGTCCGTACGTTCATCCATCGGATCTAGATTATAGCGCAGTGTACCCGAGAACAGCACCGGATCCTGCGGTATAATCGAGATGCGACTGCGCAAATCGTGCAAGCCCATATGCTCAATGTCCACATCATCGATGCGTATCATGCCCTCGTTGCAGGCCAAACGGAATATGGACTGTATAATTGAGGATTTGCCAGCTCCGGTGCGACCCACAATGCCAATTTTCTCGCGCGACTCAATGGTAAAGTTCAAGTCCCGCAGCACCGGCGCCTCTTTGGGTGAGTAGCGCAATTTGAAATTGATAAATTCGATGCGTCCTTTGCTGGGCCACTCGGTTTTTGGTTTAAATTTCTCGGGCGTCTCCAGCGGCGGCTCTGACGGCTGCTCCGTATACTCGAGGACACGCTCTACACTTGTCATCTCATTCTCCAGCTCGGCTGTCTGGCGCATGCCCCATTGGCACATGCCCGTCATGGTGGTGCTGTGCAATATGGCCAGGCCAACATCACCGCTGTTGAACTCGTTGCGCAGCAGCAGGAAACTGAATGTGACCGCCGTCATATAGCCAATGCACAACAGATCCGACCATACGGCAAACGCGCGTGTACATGAGAGAAACAGAAACCAGGCCGAGGTATTTGCATTCTGATACTCGTGAAACTCGCTCTCCAAGGCGCTCTGTGCCTGCAGAGCACGTATCGTGGTCAGGCCCTGGAACGTTTGATTTGTCAGCGAGTAGACAGGACTGCGAGCTGCAAGGTTAAAAATGATTCAATCAAGGAGCCAATAAAATACAAAATTTATATACTTACATATGCCCTCCAGTCTTTTCACGCTGCGACTGGTGTTCACATAGAGATAACGTATGCAGGCTAAGACGACGACAATCACGGCGGCGGGCACCAGCAGCCAATAATTGGCAATGGCCACAATAACCAGAACACCGGAGACATCGATGGCAAACTGCAAGTGCAAAGATCACATTAATATAAATATACATTAGGAGAAACATGTGTTTAACTTTCTAAGAAATACTTTGATCGGGCAAAGGCTGATAATTCTAGTTAGTCAATCAATTTATCGGGCCTTCTATATATCTCTATAATGCTTACAGCCAGACAATCCAGCAGCGTGTGCGGCAGATCTGTGTCCACTGTGCGTATATCCTTGGAGAATCGATTCAAGATGCGACCCGAAGAGTTTGTATTGAAGAAATACATGCTGGCGCGCGTGATGCCGCGAAAGAGGCGATCGTGCAGGCGCAAGGAGATGCGCAGACACATCCTAAAGTAGCCAAAGGTGCGCATAAGGTAAACAATAAGCGTTGCGGCCAGAATAACAGCATAGAACAAGACCAGCTGCTGGCGAACGTCATCCTCAGCGCTCTCATAACTTGTCGGTGCAGCCGTGTTCACTGTATCATTAACTGGCGCCTCGGTGGACAAATCCAACGTGGCATTAACAGCCGCAGGCAGAGCAATTGTGCTGCCATTTAGCGCAATCTTCTCCTCCCAAATGACCCTACAGAATATAAATGAATGAACAATTAGTTTTTGATTGAGTTTTCAAGGTAACAAACATCTTTACACCTACCAGCGTGAGAGGAAATAGTCTACACCCGTGAGCATCACCCTGGCGCAAATGAAGAGCACCACAATCAAAGCCAGCAGAAATGTGCTCTCCAGCGCCTTGAAGTACGAGGCGTATACACTGAACTTGACCGCGCCCACACTCTGCTGCTCCTGGTTAAGCTCCTCGACAGTCTCGTCGGGCCGCAGCAGCGGATTGTGCTGATGATGTTCCATGCTCTTCTCGGAATCGCTGCGCGAAATGTGACTGCTAACGCTGTGCGTATCGATGCCGCTCTCGTCGTGCGTCTGCTCCAAAAACTGAAACTGTCGCGAGCGCTGCAGCTCCTGATAGCTGCCCTGGGCCACAACCTTGCCGCTGGACATCAGCAGCAGGTGCTCCACATCGAACAAATACTGCAGCTGATGTGTGACCAATATGCGTATCTTATTGGCTAGAAAATCGCGTATGCATTTCTCAAAGATGTGCTTGCCCACATGGGTGTCGACGGCGGATAGCGGATCGTCCAGCAGATAGATATCTGCCTTGCGGTAAACAGCACGTGCTAGATTCACGCGCGCCTTTTGACCGCCGCTGAGGCTGACGCCACGCTCACCGACCACAGTTAAATCGCCCCTGGGCAGCAGCTCCATATCGCGCTCCAATGCGCACACCTTGATCACCTTCTTGTATCGCCGCTCATTGTAGTCCTCCACAAAGACAATATTGTCGCGTATGGTGCCCTCGAAGACCCAAGGCTCCTGTGCCGCATACGATATTTTGCCATGAACTAAGGCCTCGCCCTGATCAATGCCCACCTCGCCGAGCAGCACATTCAGAAAGCTGGACTTTCCCGCACCAACGGGACCCACGACAGCTGTCAACGTCTGATCCTGAATATCGGTGCTAAAGTTATCAATGGCGCAATTGGAGTGGCCATCACTTGCGTCCCACGAGGCGGTAACGTTCTTTAGGATCACACACTTCTGGGGCGCCTCGGGACTATAGTCGCGCACCCGGTTGGGCGGCTGCGATTGCGTCATCTGCGGCTGACCATTGACCAGCAGCGAGCCGTTAAGCTCTAAATTCTTCAATTTGTCCTCTTCCGTTAGCTTGCGCTTGTTCTTAGACTGCTTGGCATCAGCCTCCAAATTGATGGGCACCTCGGCCTTGTCGCCATCCAGCAGAAATTCCTTGCATCGTCGCGCCGAGACCAAAGCCTCTGCTATGAATGTTAAAGATAGAGGCCAAAAGTGCACCATGGAGTCGTTCAGCATGTTGAAGTAGGAGGAGACCATGTAGACCTTCTTGGCGGTCAGCGCATCACCCAGATATACATA